AGAGGCAATAAACATATTTGAAAAATGTGGACTTTGAAAGTTTGAATGCTACGTGTCAAGGAGTAAATTACACTAAGTTTTCATAAAAATAATTTCTAGAACGGTAGAGTACGGGTCAATAGTCAAAAGCAACATTTATCAGAGAAATGGATATATATACAATTGGAGACTCATTGTTTTTTAACGGAACATTTTACTTGGAAACACGGCAAAGCCACATTAAAAGTGAGGGGCATATCACTCATTTGAAAAAAAAAATTATATTATGAAATTTTAGATTTTGAACCCTCTTTTTTTTTCTCTTTTATATTTTGCACCCTATCTTATCAATATTTTAGATATTTTACCCATCTGATCTCTTCACCTAGATTCAAATTTTTCAACCTTTTAGCTCAAAGCTAGGTAATATAATAGATATATAATTAATTTTTCAAATTATTAAATTATTTTTTAAAATTATTAATTATTTTTTAAAAATTTGTCTTGGAGTCATGGCTTTGCCATATTACTTGAAAATACCTAAACTCAATATTGATATGTGAAGGAAGAATGTAAGTGTGAGCAGCATGGATGACATCATGAGAGACTATAAACCTTAAAATTCATTTGATAATCATGATTGACAACTAATAACCACTCACATAGAGGCTGAGAAACAGGCGAGCTCAAGACCAAAAGTTCAATTATTATAAAATTGGTCATTTTTTAAATTGTCCCTTTATTGATTTGACTTTAGAGGGTCGGGCAAGTTCTTTTCTTTTACTTTTTTTTTTTATTTTTGAAAAATTTTAATGTTTACATTATAATATTACATATCTTTTTAAAAATATAAATTATAATGTTTGAAAATTATAAATAAATTATATAAAATTTAGTTTTTAAATATAAACATATATTTTATATTTTATATTTCAAATTAAATTCAATTTTTAGGGGTAAAATAAAAAAAAGGCCAAAATAAAAGCCTGTGCTCATGCTCTTTTTATAAGGTCAGGTTTAAAAGCTTAATTAAATTAAAAAATTTTATTTTTTAAATTCAAACTCTTATAAAAACTTGTTTAAATGGGAGGCCATCAAGTCTGACCCATAGTTTTACACACACATAATTTTAGAACAAAATTGGACGGGTTCATAATCAATTGCCATTTGCCGGAAGGAAATATAATTATTTGGGATTTTGTAATGAAATTTTCGTTCACTGTGCAAAGAAGATGATGTTGATTGTCAATATGGTACAAGTCAGACCTCTTTAGAAAGGAACTTTTTTTTTTGGCCAGCTTTAGAAAAGAACTGGTCTGGTGTATCTTTTAAAAAGCTTAAAGTAGAATTTATTATTATTTTTACTATCATACCCCTGTTTATGTGAATGATGTGAAAATATTTTATGTATTAAATTAAGGAAAAATTGATAATAAAGTTAATATTTTAATGCAACGCGACACGATATGTAAGTAATCACATTAAGTTGAATAGAGAAAAAAATTGGACAAATTCAGTTTAATTAATCATGCTGGCCAATTTAATTTCATTCAAAATCCAATCTTATGAATTTTTGTAAAAATTTATTTTATATCAAAATTTTATATTGGAGATTATTCTATATTTTTATAAAAAAAATTAAAAAGAAAGAACCCTACACCAATCTGCTCCAAATAAAGCAACAAACTACCTTTTCCCTCATTTTTTTTATCACATTAAATTAAGAGAGTGTAAATTCCAAACTTCTTTTTCTTGCTTATAAGTGTCCATTAATAAGAGATAATTATATTTAAGATATGATTAGTCTTCAAATAAGAATTTAAATATTGATTTATCATTTTATAATAGACTAGCTCCTTCTTCTATACTTAACATTTATTGATGTAAATTCTGAACTTTTAACATACTCCAGTAGTAATCAAATAAACTGTTCTTTTTACTCTTTTATTTAATTAATATATAGAATATTATGCTTTGAAAGAAAAAGTAACCCAATTCAACATTAGGCAAACATAAAAATAGATCAATATCAGGCTTTGAACGCGAATATTAATTCATAACACAAAATGGGAATAATCATGATTATTTTAGAATATTAGTAAAATTGAATTTCCTACCTCCATGATAATTAATTATCTTCATATTTTATACCTTAAGATTAAATAACGGTTTGAGAATTATGCTACCGACATAAATCCCATGACAATGATGGTTAATTAGCTTCAAATTCAATACTAAATTCTACAACCTTTGAATCCTCCATATGGATGCAATTAATCTGCAACTATCATTTTTCTTTCCCCTTTCCGGCGGCCAAATGTTTTGATTTTGGCGTTCAAAAGAAAGGCAAAGGGAAAAGGATATCAAAATGTGGGAAATCGGAAGTTTATGAACAGTTCCAGAAAAAAGAAACCAGTGTACGCGTGGTTTTTCTGGGCATATATTTGATTAACTAGAGATTTCAAGTTTAAACTCTAACTCTAAAAATGCCAGCAACATCGACGGTATAACTTTCATGTTTTTTTTTTTTTAATTATCCAAAGTATCTCCACAGCCGATAACTGTGAGATTAATTCTTAAAAAAATTTGGGTGTCATTTAAAAAATTATCTTTTTAAGTAATATTTTTTCATATACATATTCAAGAAGTGAATCCGGAAATGAGACTCAGATCATTACCGGGTTATAGCTTTCACTTTGAAATGGCCTGGTCTGAACTTGATCCAGATTAGTATGGGCTCTAGTTAAAATAACCTCAATGGACAAGAAAAATTGAAAGAAAAATGACAATTTTCCTGCTTGAAAATTTCGGCTTTCAGACTTCAGTCCCACACCCATAAGTTGTCTGGTTTGAGGGTGCCGTTGACATTCTAGTTAGAATTTCTCTCGCCGTTATTTTTTCCTTATAATTTCTCTCAAAATAATTAAAAAAATGCGAGAAAACTCTAAAAAAAAAATTTGGCTGAAAATACGGATGCGTAGGTGAGGACATTTTTCCAGCAAAAACAAATCCAAGAAAAAGTATGAAAGACAAGAGTGAAAAGAGAAAATTGTTAATGTGAATAAAATTTTATAAAGAATTTTCATAATTATGAAGAAGAGAAAGCTTACCATTTCTCTCGCGAAAGAAAGAAATTTCTGTTAATAACAAAGAGAGAAACGACTAGGGAAATTTCTTGAGTTATTCTGAGAGAGAATTTTTCTTAAATTTGAATTCGAGAAAAATAAGGTATTTTCTAATAAAACTATATGAAAGAAATTCTTTCTCTAAAAGATGCTTACTTTATAATTCATTCTATTTTCACTAAAATAATTATTTAATAATATTTTTTTACAAAATGTTGTTATCTAACCTACATATTCTATTTATTTTTCTAATGTATAACAAGACCCACGATAATGCTCGCAAAATTCTCTTACTTACTTGAATAAAAAAAAAATTGTACTGAGGATATATAGTAAACTTTTTCCAATTAAATTGTTACTTACATAAGGATTGAAATTCAAATTTCCAGCTACTTGTTTAAATGATGAAAATACAAAGTACCAGAGTGAAGCAAGAAAAGAAAGAAGGTGATTTGCTCTGAATGTATAATTCTTATCGTTGATCATTTGCGTACAATCCCTATATTTACAATCTGCACTAAACTTTACAGTAAACAAAGTTCGTTGAGCTAATTCTGTTAATCATAGCAGACTATTGAATCTAATCATTGGGCCTAGTATATTCTAATAGAGAGTCCCTGTTACCCATACTAACTCTTTTTTTTTAATATCACCACTTATACCAACTTTAATTAAAAACTTTTAATATATAGCAATTACATTTTCTTTAGGATAATTTAAGGAAAAAATTTAATTTCCTACAAGTTTTTGCTCTTCCCCATTTCACTGAGAGGAAAGCAGAAAGCAAGGTATTTTATCTTAGATTGTCCTATAACTAGATTTTCTTGCTATAGTGTACATTAGATTGTTTTATGTTTCAGCTTTTGAACACAAGAAAAAAGAAAATGATAGTTATTGATCCAATATTTATATGCAATTATGAATCACTGATAAAGATTTTAGAAATTAATTCTTTTTAAATAAAATATTTTTTAACATTTAAATTAATTACACCAATAGAGGTTGGGGGGCTATTTAATAACACTGATTTTTTGTTATTCATATAAATTATGAGTCTATAAGTCTCATTTTTCCAAATAATTTAACCCTTGTCATTTGGAGAAGTTTGGATTTTCAAAAGCATTATATTCACTCATCCATCCATGATGAGCCCAGCACTAAAGTGTGCTCTTTTTCATAGCCTTACAGCTCTAACCTCTAAAGCATTAGCACCTAACACATATAAATGCAATTTAACAGACCCACCCAAACCCTCTTCTGCTGAAGCCTCATCAATACCCTCATATCCATATGATATATATATATATATATATATATATGCATGCATGTATATGTGTATGTAAGTCTTGCTGATAAGCATATCTGGCGTATTCATTCATGTTTTGGTGATTGTCTCGGTGGGATCTACCTTCGCATTATTAATGGAAAAGTGGCTAATGCTTATTTGACATATGCTTGACTGGGTCCTGTGTCTTCTTCTGTAGTCACTTTTAGACAACCCATAGAGCTTCTGGTTCTTTAGAAAAAGAAAAGCACATGGATGTCTTTTTTCCTGTAAGCTTAGAAGAGAGAGGCAATGTAATAATTTAATAACGTGTAGGTATTCCTCCCCAGCTGGCAACTTCTCTCTTTTGTGTCTGCAAAGTGTTTGTCGAAATGTCTGTGAGAAGTATTATAATAGCTTCCTTGATTAAAAAGCCCATTGAACGAGAACAATTTAAGAAAACCATAGAGAATATCATTATGATGAGCAAACCAGGCCACTTGTTAAACATGGACCCGCAATAAACTCATCATAAGTTTGCATTGCATTCATGGTCAAATTAGTAGTGCCAGATATGTTCAAGTATATACTTTATGGTACATGCTCATTATCAGGCAGACAGATGACTCAAGATAAGGCTTATGTTGTCAGCATTACGGTGTTACTGGCTGTTCTGTTCAAGTTTAAACACTCTGGCAATCTCAAAGAAGTCAAGCTGTCCTAAGATGTTGAAAGCTGAGGCGCATGTGAATATCATCATCACCATCATGTTATGGTCTATGATTTACATTTGTTGGTCTTTCAGATATCAAACTTAAAACTTCTTTCCTTTGATGCATTCTCCTTCGTCGGAAGCATACCATTTGTTTGAAGAATAGTGTGTTATTCTGCATTCTCCCAGTGTTGCTTGCTTATATTGCAGGATTTGGCAAGTTGAGCTTGGGCAATGAAATGCGTAATAATAACGCAACATCTGCTCTCAATGGCATTTACTGGGTTTGTTATTGCAAGTATTGAATTGAATTTGGTGAGGCAGAGTTCTGCTATTTTTTTCTCAACGGTATTTATGCTGGATTAGCAGACACTGGAGTGAGAATTGCGAAATCCTGTCAAACTTTTCACTGGAAGGTGCTGAGGAACACGACAAGCAAATAGATTTATGTTCGGAGAACAGTCAGCTGGCTACATATGATCATATTGATATTAAGTCTTCAATCAAACAAGGTTAGTCCACTTCACTTGTTGATGTTTTCAATTTCATAGGCTTATTCCATCTTATATAAATAGATGTGACATTACGTTCAATTTCTGAAAGTAAAGTTATAATTGCACTTACAAGAATCTAAATTATCATATTTAAATATATTAATTTAAACTTGTGACCTGTGTTATTACCTTGCTTTTAGTTCCTGCAGAGGAAGAGAACATTGTCGTTTCACCATCACCTGATGTAGAACTTCAAGAACCATCACGTAAACATTCTCTTCACAATGAGCATGTTGAAATTCTTGAAGAACCATTACTTCAAGGCAGTGAATCACTGCAAAGAAGTGATCTTCTGGATAATGACAAATTCCATTCCAAGGATGATGATATCAGTCCAGATAAAGAAAAGGAAACACATGAAAAAGTGTTAGGTGGATTCAGCACTGATGGTGGAGATGAATAAGGGAGCAGTGTGAGATATGCATCAGAGATAACATATAATTCTTCAACTGTCGATGAAGAAAGAAATTGCAGTCCATTGTCAGATGTCGATCATATTACTGATCGGTCCATGGCTTAACCACAAGCTGATTTTGTGGATGACCAACAATGAGGACAAGGGGAAAGGACCTTGAAGAAGAAGGACAATTCAGCAGAAGTGGATCAGAAATGGAGAATTCACAAGATTTTGAGGCTGATCTCTCTGTTGGAGACTACAATGGAGATGGAAATACAGTTCTTGCTCCGGGTGCGTATGGGATTTTTGACACTGATCAAGTTGAAGAACCCAAAGTTACTGAGAATGGACGCCACTTTGATGTGTTCATTGATAACAACAGAACTTCAGATGAAATTAGCACTACTCCAGTTCAACAAGATCTTATGGTTCCTGAAGCTGAAGGAGATGATGGAATTATCTCAGGTTCAACAGTTATAAAATGCAGAGCTGCAGATGAAGAAAATAATGAGGATAAGGTTATTGAGGAAATAGACAAAAGGCCAGAAGCTTCACATGCCATGTTAAAAGGTTTAGATCTTTTCAGATCAGGAAGAATCTCACCCTGTAAGATTCTGCTTCTATATTACATATCTATAGTCTCCGAGAGGACATTGTCCGCCAAAGCATGACCTTCAGATTGGAAGCCAGGAAACGGAAGTAAAGTCCCTTGGCGCCACGGGTAACAAGCAACCTTGATTATGAGAGACGAGAAAGAGAGAAAATTACACATAGGTCTTGTATAAGAGATTTATTTGCAATTAAGCCCTGTAAAATTTAGAAATTATAATCAAAGTTATTAAGATGGTAATTTGTGGTTGGGGTGTAAAGACAATACTATCTTTATTAAAATATATCAAATTATATATGAAAAAAGGATGCATTTGTATTTGTTAAACATGAAATATGACTTATGTATTAAGAATTTTGACTTGTAAATCGTGAATTTTCAATTGTAAGTAAAAAATAAATATGATTTTAGTTTATTACTTATAAAACATGCAAAATGTTACTTGTGAATCAAAAATTTTTACTTGAAAATTGTGAAATTGTAGTGCTAAGTGAAGGATAAATATAATTTCAATTTATTGATATTTTTTTGTTTTAATAAGTAGGGGCATAAAGAATTTTCACCTAAAACTTTAATAACACTCAAATTTTAAAGAATTTGGCTTTATTTTTTTAAATTCACAAGACCTGTTTGTAAATAAATTCTTTATATGAGACCTATACATAATTTTTCTTACAAAACTACAGCCAGTCAACACAAGAGACCAAAAAAAATTTAGCCATAATGCATAAAATTAAGTGAACAACACTTGTTTTAATTTTAGCTATTATAATAATATGCCTCAAATTTCTATATCAAATGAATTAAATTTCAATATAATGATTTGTCCAAAAACTTCAGTAAATTAAATTAGGATAAAGGTGCATTTTTATCGTAGCAACAAACGTGAAAGGCCCGTTAAAAAATGCGAACTGAACTTTGACTGAATGTTGACGTTTCCTTGTTTGCCTTTTTCGCAGGTATTCCATGTTTCAGTCCTTGTCTTCGCCGCATGGAAGCGCCAAGCCTAACAGCTCCAACTTGCGAGCCGCATGAAGACGTCGTGTGTCTGTCGTTATCGTCCGTCAACCGCTGAAGCTCACGTCCAGATCTCTCTGTGCTTCCTTTCTTTTCTTCCCACCTGGTCTCTTCTCCCACTCGGCAAGTTCTTATAGATTTGCAAATCTCTCTTGCTTGAAATCACAGCTTGCAGCTTGATTCCCTCATTCAACAAAATCAGAATGATTTATATTGGTATAATCACTAAATTTGAATTCTCTTAGTCTCAGACCCTCTTTATGTCGAAGCAACAAAGAAAACTCATCATGTTTATATTACAAATGAAAAGGAAAAGTTAGAGCAGCAACATACAAATTTACAAGTTGAACAAACTGAAGAGTGAAGATTACTCACACACCAGCATCTAAGTTGTCTTTACTAGACAATCCTCCTCCTCCGCCGACCTCTTCCTTCTACAATGCTGATCATCCGCCGCTTTACCTACTTTGATCTCCCTCTTCAGTCCGATTCCCTCCTCTACAGTTACTTATAGGAGGCACCGCCTCCTCCGCCGGACAGCACTGCTTCCGTGCACCGTGTTCCTCATTATTAGAACATAATGTAAAGTGTAATTATGCCACGTGTATATTTTAGTTTCTTCGTTCTATTATATTGTTACCACTTGTAATCATTTAGTTTCGTTTAGCGATTAGTGAACCGACTTTATTGTGCATCAGTACTCTACTCCTTTTGTTAATGTGATGAGCTCAACTTTCTACTTTTTCACTTTTCGCTAAAACCTTGTATGGTATCAGAGCTCTTTGCTCTGAACAATGGCCTCTTTTGCGTCCTCTGTAACTCAATCCGATGGAAAACTTGTTGTTGATTTCGTTAAGCCTGGTGAACTTGTAGCTTTGAGTCACTTTGTTTCTTTAAAGCTCGATGAGCACAATTACCTTGTTTGGTGTTAGCAGATTAAATTTGCCGTCCAAGGTCACGGCCTCTTTTATTTCTTGGAAACTGGTCAATCTCCTCCTCAGTTTAAATCCAGTGCCAATCTTGAAGCTGGGGTTGTCTCGGCCGAGTATCTTAGTTGGTATAAGGAAGATCATTTGTTATTTTTCCTGGCTTCAGTCTACGATTTCTGATTCCATGCTTCCTCGTCTCATCGGTTGTACTACCTCTAGAAGCGTATTTCTGATTTTTTCCAAGCTCACACTCGAGCTAAGATTTTTCAATATAAGAAGGAGTTAAAGAACACAAAGAAGGACGACAAATCAATTTCAAAGTTTGTTCTTAGGGTGAAAGCCCAAGCCAATGCACTAATTTCGATTGGCTACTCTGTTCATGAGTAAGATTAGATTGAAGTCACTCTAATACTCGTGATGTGGAGACCTCCGAGTCTTTGAGGCCCATCAAAAACCCACTGATGACTACCATTAATATTTATACACAATGTCAATACTTTTTCTCATGTCTTCGGTTTATCTGGGATTGGGGTGTATTTTTTTTAGATGAATGTTCAGAAGAACAAGAAGTTAAAAAAAATTATATAGTTTTACTCGTAAATGTCAAATGTATGCCATGTTTGTCGAGCCCACATCATCCAAACGACGAACATTTTGCCTCTCCAACAGCAGGGCCAATTTTGTTTTATTTATTTTCTTTTTAATGGGTGTTCCTCCACAAATATTTTAAGAATAAAATTAGATTTTAACCGATTAAATTTTAATATATGACTATTTTTCAAGAAAAGGGATAAACAAAGGGAAATGAGAATAAAATCTTTTAAATTATATAAATAATAATCTGATCCCTTAAAATACCATAATTTCACTGAAATTTTTTTGGATTTTTGTATTAACAAATTTTAAAGTGAAAAAACTATTTTACCCTTATTGAAAATAGTAAGCCTCTGTCACAATTTTTTGTTTAGGAAATAACAACTTTTGTTATGTGAATCACAAGAATTAAACAAGAAATTATAACTTATCAAATGTAATTTTCATTATTAAAAAATAAGTTCTCAAAATAATAAACTCCAATCATAAATTTAGTTTAATGAATAACAATTTTTATTGAAAAAATTTCAATTTATCAATAAAGATAAAATGTTCCTTTTCAATTTAAAATTTATTAATATAGAAGTCCCTTTAATAAAATTATAATATTTTAAGGAATTAAATTAATATTTATATAATTCGAGAGATGTTATTGTCATCTTTTCATAAGCAAAACTATATGTAACTTTTTTTTTTTAATTTAGGGACTAGAAAGTGATTTATTAAGACCAAAAGGTCACAAGATCAAAGTACGTAGTTATTTCATTTCCCTTTTCTCATTTCTCTAATGAAAGCTGGAAGATGGTTGAAGAATGGCTATCATAGAATAAAGTATGAGTAAACATAGTCATAGCGTTAGCATTTTTAACATAATTGCTATGTACAAAATTAAGGTTGACAAGCCAATCTCTGCCTATAATTAATCTCGCCCCCTGAATAATATCCCAAAAATAATTTTCAATTTAATCAGTAATAACAACATAAAATTAAAAAATAATATAGATATTTATTTGAGATAAGACAGGCTGAGACATCTTGACAATTAACCTATGTCTCATTCATGTCTCAAGTGTAATTTTGCCTCATTCTATGATGTCTCATCTTGATTATTTTCAAGTTGAACTAGACTCATTTTGATATGACTGGAATCCGAAACAACATTATCATGAATACCCCTAACAAATTAAGTTATCCAATTCAATATTAGGCGAACATCAAAATGGTTCAATATCTAAACATAAGCACGCCTTAGTAATACATGGCACAAAATGGGAATGATCATGATTACTTTAGAATATTAGTAAAACTGAATTTCCTACCTTAATGATAATTATCTTCAAATTTTATACCCTAAGATTAAATAAGGTTTTGAGTATCATGCTACCGACAATGATGGTTAGCGTAAAATTCAATACTAAATTCTACAACCTTTGAATCCTCCTTATGGATGCAATTAATCTGCTGCAACTATCATTTCAAGTTTTGTTTCGCTTTTGTTTAATTTTCCTTTCCCCTTTGTGGCGGCAAGTGTTTTGCTTTTTGGGTTGAAAAGAAAAGCAAAGGGAAAGGGAGATAACAAGGAAGGAATTCGGAAGTTTATGAGTGGTTTAAAGATTTTTTTTTTTTCCAAATAATCATCCTACCCTCCGTTTAACTGGTTATATTACCTCAATTAAAAGTATCTGAGTTCAAGTTCTAAAAATGTAACAGTGCTAGTGATATAACTTTCACTCAAAAGGGTTTCTTTTTTATTCAATTTGAAAAAATTAGTGTAACAAGTCTCACATAAAAGAATCTCATAAGTGGTATGAAGTTTATAAGTGTAAAGAGTTTTCTCACCTAACAGACTAGTTTTTTAGGATAAACTTTTTATTTAGACTTATGCTCATTATATTAGTGTTTTTGTTAAGAGACTGATGTCACGGAAAAAGTCACCTACAAAAGGTACCCACAGAAGATTTTAACAAGCAGAAAGTCAAGGGAAGCACCATGGAGTGGAATCATCGGGAATGTCGTCTCTTGATGGGATGGCATTGTAATGAGTCCCATATTAAAAAGCCTTACAAGTAATGTAGAGTTTATAAGTATAAAAAGCTTTTCAACTCAATAAGCTAGTATTTTAAAATAGTCTCTCTTATTGAACTTTGTACCCGTTACAATTAGTACCTTAGTTAAAGTCCCCCTAGATTGGAGTTGAGGTCTTGTTTTGATTGGATCTAGATTAGTACGTCCCTCCATTAAATTCTTTTCAACTTGCTATAGGACAAGTTTAGGATGCCAGTGCTACATGTAAAAAAAAGAAAAAGAAAAATGACAATTTTTCTAATTGAAAATTTCAGCTTTTAGACTTCAGTCCCACATTCAAAAGTTAGAATCGGTAATGTGGGTCAAGCCTGATAGACCAACCCAAATTCACTAGAAAAATTTAAGCCCAAGCCTAAAAAATGTTAATTTTTTTAATATTCAGGTCTATTTGAGTTGCCCAAATAGGCCTAAAAAAAATTCAAGTTAAGCCTAATCATGTTCAGGCTTGGCCTGAATATCTAAATAAAAAAATAATTTTTAAAATATATATAAAATATAATAAATATTAATTAACTCTTTAAATTTTATATTATTTTATATTAAAATATTATATATTTGATGCATTATTATAGTTATTTTTAAAAAAATTAAAAAATTTATATT